AAAAAGAATATCTTATTATTCATTTTACAACTACTTTACATCATAATTATTTTTTATTTACATGTATTTTTTACAAAAAAAAAACAATAAATTAAAGCTAAAAATTATGAAAAAATATGTCTTATCTATGTATATAAAATATTAAGTTTTTTCTTTTACTTACCACTTAAAAATAACTGCTATATTTGCTTATAAACTTTTTTGTCATATTTAATAAAAATGAATAGAAAAATGATGGAAAAGTGATTGGCAGTGATGGGGAAAAAGAAGTGGTTATTACCGTTATTTTTGAATATTGATTAAAAATTTTTTTTTTATTTTTTATTAAATCTGAGTTACATAAATATGTAACACATATTTAATTTAGATTTGTGTAATGTTAATCTTACTAAAATATTAAATTTTTATAAAAATCTTAATTTAGACTAATTCCAAAAATCGGCACATATGAATTGGGGTTTGTAGGATAAGGATTTAATTTGTAATTCCGGCCGGAGTTAAAATATAAACTTCATAAATCTGTTCGGGATCTTAATTTTGCTCATATTCTGGTAATGAATGCAATGCTGGCCAGAATTATATGATCGGTGTAAAAATATCCTTTTTTGTAATACTTGTAAAACCAAAATCTCCATTTTTTGCAGGATGCAAAATTTCCTTTTTTAGAAATTCGTGTAACGTCACATGATAAGTGACCAATGAGATTATTTTGGATATGGGTAGGATTGGGGTTTGGGATTGAGATGAGATTTTGGCAAATGGGATGGGATATGGGATGGGATAAGGGATTCTCCCATCCTATTTAATATGGGCAGCAAGTATATACCCGATTGGTAACTTTTTTTTGATCGGTCACCTGATTTATTTAATAGTTAGAAATTGGTGTACACTTCAATCGGATATCAATCAGATTAATACCCGATTGATAACTATCTTTTAGTTTAAATTTACCGATTGATAACTATCGTTTAGTTTAAATTTACCGATTGCTTTCTTTAAAACAAATAGTGACTGATTGTTAGTAATTTATAGATTTAAAACAAATTGTAATCCGATTGTTAGTAAATTATAAATTTATTTATCAGATAACTTATTTTAAACGTAAATGAACTCTGTTTTATTACAAATGAAATTGTTACAGGTAAATGATGTTCAACTGGCAATCATGCCGATTGGAGTTAATTTATCAATCTGGGCTTATAATTTGTAAAATAAATAGCAATCGGCTATCAAGCCAAATCGTACACAAACTGAACAATTAGCCAGATTAATGTTTATTGTTAATTATTGTTAGTATCGAAATTTCTGATTGTTACTTATTGGTTAGTTTTAATACAATAGTTAATAAAAACAATTAATTACTGCACAATTGCATAAAATTTAACAAATAAATATCACATATAAAGCTATAAATGAAAATGTCTATTAATCGGAATAACTGCCATATAATTGACAATGTTCCTCCTGCCTATACTAAAGTTACTAGGTATAAATCGGCTATAGATATTGTGAATAGGTATTATATTATCCCTACTGATGTTATAAAATTCCTTCTTCCACAGTTCTATATTACAATTTCTAACATCATTGTCATCAATCTGACAATGAAATCTTTTTTGAGTACCTTGAGCTGGTAAAAACCATCTAACATAAGCCAAATAATGAATTTGTTTACTTCCTGGTAAATTAATTTCATGTTCAATGTAGTATTGAACTTGACTGGAAAATATTTCGACTGATTCATTCTCTTGCACAAATTTAGCAATAATAAACGAATTTTTTGAATATCGAGGTGAATTAGCTGATCTGAAGATTTTTGCTCCAATTTGAATACGTCTGAACTGATTTATTTGAGGTCATACAACAATTTTGCAGTCGGAGCATCTTGTATTTCCTTGAGCTAATTCCGAAATAGACAAAAATTCCAAATCATAGGCAGCTTTATAATATTCTACTAATATATTATAAGTTTCGTCTGGTAAACTGACGTTAATTTTTTTGGGGTTAGCATCTCTCCCGGAAAAGGCTCGGAACCAGCAATTGTATTTTCAATTTCAAGTGAATGAATCTGCCTAAATCTAAATAATTCATCGAGCTCGAATTTATCGTATGCCGCCAGGCTTCCTGTTGTTGGACGTGACTGTACTAGCTTTAACCCTTCGGTGAGCTTTACATTATTCGATTGATCAGAGATCAAATTGTCCAACCTCCAACTTTGCATTATTATTCGTAAAAGCTCAGATTCTATATTACGATAGCTGTTCAGAAAGGAGCCTAAAGAAAACAACCGATAGTAAAAATATTTTATTAAACTTAATTGAATCAATCGTTAATGTTATTTAATATCAATAACTTACTCAAAATACCGTTCATTCTTTCAAAAGAATAACACCAAAATAAGTATACTGGTCCGTAATCACGGCAGCATTCAGAAATATGAAGAGACAAATAAATGTTTGGCATTATCATTTCTGGCCCGTAATTATCTTCGATTAAACGAGTAACTTTTAATAATTGATTGTGCGCTTTGTTTAATCTATTTTCGTCAATGATCTGTGATACTAGCAGATAACATGCCCTGACAAAATTAGTTAAGATTGCTCGATCATTATCATCCAATAAGTCCTACATTATTGGAGTTGCATAAATCATTATGAACGACTTCTATTGGTCCGCTGTGAATCCTGAAAATCCCTCTCCTGTCGATATCTTGTAAGGAATTCTTTCTAAGTCAGATGGTACTTTAATATTTTTCGCCCTTCTTTCTATTAACTCAAGATGGGATTTTGTTATCTTCCCATTATCTATCCAAAGTCTTTTTACGATCCAGTGGGCTATTCCTAGGAATAAATTGTGCATAGGATTGATAACAAAGAATCTGATAGGATTAAAATACGGCAGGCGGAGCATCTCTGATCACTGAACATGGGTTCTGGTTACATGTTTATTCTGATTTTCTTTTGTTCGTTGATACTTCCAAATCATGGCATTTCGTCGATATTCTGCCAGATCTTTCTCTCTGAACCATTCATCCATGTCATCAAACCCACCAAAATTTGCTCTTTGTCCTTCCTCGCCATCGGCTCTTTTATGGCATCTATGACATCCAGCTAATGCCGATATATGACCACAAAGTTTTCTTGCAACTGGGATGTCATTAGAGCAGCATATAACTGCTAATCAAATTTTTTTGCCATTCTGATGCTTATCACTTGAAGGTAAATCAAATCCATTCTCCCAAAGTTCCAGCAAATCGTCTACTATCGGGGCAAGATAATGATTAATCTTATGTAATTTTACTTCATGTGGCCCCGGTAGTAGTCCTAATACTAACATGTTTTCTTTTTTAAATCTTATTTCACAGGGCAAATTACAAATCACACCATAAATTGCTCCGCAACTATATGATGATGATTCAAACGGCTGGAACCAATTTAAATTAATCATAATTCCCAAGTGGGAATCAGCCGTTTCAGAAGTAAAAAATTTAAAAGAATTTGAACTATCAAGACGTGATGGAAATTCTTTCCATATTTTACCGTTATAAATATCTGATATGCAGATTTCGCTATGCTGGTTCGTCCATTTTTTTAAATGATCTTCGAAATTTGGTCTTTGGTACATCACGAATAATTGATTCTTCAAACATGGTAAGGGATACACCAGCTTTGGGCGCCAGATATGTCCGTTGTTCACCGGGATTTTTTCTAGCAATTCCGACTCACAGGGTTTACGTCGATTCTGCATCAGGTGGTTAGGGAATTCAACGTGAGTACATTTAAATCCTTCATTATTCGGATTTGATGGAATTATTGACGCGATGTTATACAGTTTGTTGCAATCGGTATAAGTGGCAAAGGTTTTTGATTTTTTTCTGATATCTAACGCTTTCTTTACCATATAGGCAGTTGAAGGAAATTTTTTAAACTAATGTGAATCGATATCTTTTAAGAGAAGACTAAAAAAGCCAATCAACGAATTGATTGCAACATCAGGAAGTTTGAACCTTTCTTGATATTTAAAGACCCAGATGAGAATCCATAAGTCGTCTACATCTATATTAGTGATGAAATTCTCCCGGTCTGAATCATAATTAAGATCATCGGTACTAGGAGTAACAAATAATTCCTCGTTCTCTTCAAAGTATAGTTCATTATATTCCAAAGTTAATTCATCATAAACCGACTGAGAACCTCCTTCATCACCAGATGAATCGAATTGTTGTTCATCATAAACTGACCGAGAACTTCCTTCATCATCAGATGAATCGAATTGTTGTTCTGGATCTTCATCTGGAATTATGATAGCATCATTTGTCGTACAAAATCGGTCATATCTTTTTCACTTTCTTCTTATACCAATCGACTTTGCAATAGATGAATCTTCGTGATCGTCATCACCATCATCATCATCATCATCATCATCACGAATATTTTAGGACGAACTGGTAGTAATCAGTTGGATTTCAACTAAATCAAATCTATCTTTCTTTGCTTTAAATCAAAACTCATTATCTTTCATTTCGTGTCTTTTTCTCGTTCTTGTATCTGCAAGTTTACCGTTACATTTTTTACAATGACATAGCACTTTTGGTCCAACTTTAGTTGATTTATGAGTTGATTTGTGAGTGATTATTGGTATTGATTAGGCTTTATTAGAATTATCCATTGTTTGTGTGAATGATGAGAAGAATTATGAGAATGAGTTAAAACGCAACACGAATGTGCAACATATAAATCAGTAATCAGTATACATTAGTGTAGATCTTATTTGAAGTTTAATTAAGTTTATTTCACTTAAATATTATAATGTGACTAATAAAAATGTACAAAGTCGATCAAAATCTGATGAGTCTAATGAGTCGAGTTAATAATCTATAATAAGTTGCCAAATAGACTATTTTAGCATCTTTCTGCAAATATATAAGATCATCTAAAATTCTCATTGATCAAAATTTCTTTCTGAATTTTTTCTTTTACTATCTTATACCAACAACAAAAATGACTTGTCATAAAAAAAAATGTAACCACTCTTCTAATTATAGCAGAAGTCGTTCAAGAGATATTGAGCGAAGAAATGATAGCTGTTCTTCCAGTTATAGCAGGGATAGAAATCGCTCAAGAAATAATGAGCGAAGAAAAAAAGATACACAATATAAAAAAAACAAAAAAAGGTGAGCAGTAAATTATAAATATTAATAGATGACATTACCATTTATTTTTTATTTATAATCTCGTAATATTAATAGAAAAGACAAGCGCTCTTTCCATCATCAGCATGATCGTACACTATCTCCCGATAGATCAACTGAGAATTCAAAGGTGGAAGACTCTGAAAAAGATAATCAATCACATAATAAAAATAAAAACGAAGGTAAATATATGGATAAATTATAAATAGTGTTGTACATATAACAGCAAGGACATACCGATCTAATTGTTTTCTTTTAATTCATAATAGCCGCATTAGAAGAAGAAGTTCAATATTTAAGAGAAATTATCAAACAAGGAAAATTAAGAGAGACCAATGAGGGAGCCGCGATTGCTACTAGTTCATCTAAGAAAATGGGAAAAGGAAAATTACTTAGAATTTCAGAAGAAACTTTACAGGACTCATGTGTAGTAAACCATAATAATACAGGACCTTTCAAACTTATAATTCCAGAAAATCTTTTGTATAAAAAACAATCCACCTCCATTTCACCTTCGCAAGAAAGACAATCCACCTCCACTTCACTTTCGCAAGAAAAACAATCTACCTCCACTTCACCTTCACAAGAAAGACAATCCACCTCTACTTCACCTTTGCAACAAAAACAATCCACCTCCACTTCACCTTCGCAACAAAGACAATCCACCTCCACTTCACCTTCACAAGAAAGACAATCCATTTCCACTTCACCTTCGCAAGAAAGACAATCCACCTCCACTTTACCTTCACAAGAAAGACAATCTACCTTCACTTCACCTTCGCAACAAAGACAATCCACCTCTTTATCTTCAAGACCTCCAGTACGAATTCCAAAACTTCACTTGTCATTACCATCTGGTTTCTATTCAAGTAGTAAAAAAATGAGTCAGAAGAAGCACAACCATGGTGAATCTGAGCAAGAATATTCTGACTTCGAGCAAGACTCTGGGCAATCTTCTGACTCCGAGCAAGAATGTTCTTACTCCGAATCAAGTTCTGATTCTGAACAAAGATCCAGATCCAAATCAGATCAAAGATCGAAATCTCAACGATCATCCAAATCTAGACCTAAATCAGATCAAAGAACTTCCAAATTTAAACGAAAATCTAAATCCAATCGAAGTTCCTCTAAACAAAGATCAAAATCTAGACGAAGATCTTCCTCTATTTATCAACAATTACATCAGAGGACACAAAAATATTTAAATGTTGAGGATTTGCCTAAGACCTTTAAGGAAGCTTTGAGGGTAAGTGAATTTTATCAGAAATTTAATTTATAAATTTCATTATTGATACATATATATTGTTAATTATTACATTTTAGAGAGAATTGTTTTGGGTTATTGAGAGAATTCCAGCCAAAAGTAAATTGGACCTAAACAGTACATTCAATTCACAACATAACCTTGTAACTGGCACAATAATTCCAACTGTAATGAAAGTTTTAGATTTGGATGCATTTCTGGTTACGGAAGCTGTTATATATGATATGATTCATGCTCGCCATAAACATCAACGTGAAGAACATTTAAGTAAATCATGAACAGAGGCTTTTCAAGATAAAAAAGCACGAAAAAAGCATTTAAACAGTCGTAGAAATGATGTAAGTATCAAATATAATTTTAATTTGATGTAATTTTAATAATTATGTATCTTTTATCATCATTAATTATAGAAACGATTGATGAGAGCCAGAATGATAGAGAACTTACAAGCAATCAATGATCCTTTGATTAAGAAATTTAAAAAAAATGAGCTTCAACAAATTAAAGAAATTTCTGCATTTTATTCACCTGAAGTTTCTGAGACAGATACTGAAAATCTTAATGGAAAACACAATATTGTTGTTAAGAAACTGAAGTGGCATTCATTGACTGTAAGATCATTTAATAATTAATCTTTTGATATTAGTCGTCATATTACTAATAATTATATTACTATAGCTTAAGTTGTTTCTACGAAACTATATTGATCAATTATTTACAGAAACTTCCAAGGTTCCAAAGAAACGAATTCGTGTTTATGATGATAATTTCTACGAAAAAGAACAAACTGCACCATTTCATTCACCAAAATGGGCAGTTGGAGATTATCAAGGATTTCTAAAGGATGAAGTCGAAAGGGCTTGCTATAGAAGAAAATCCGATGCCCTTTCATAAATTTAATGCTGGATGACGAATTATATTTACAATTTATATTTTTGTTTCGTTAACTTTGATTTACAAATAGATTTACATAATAATAACATTTATTAATAACATTAGATAATTTTTATTGCGTAATATTAATATTTAGTAATTTTTATAAAAACAGCATATTTATCTTCATGTAAAAATAACGCTTATTGCTTATAAATAAATAAATTGATTTCAATCGGTTAGAAAATTAAATCCAATCAGTCACTATCTAATTTTCATTTATTAATAAATCGTTTCTTCTGATCGTGATACTTAGTTTACATTTACAATAATCAGCTACACTTGATTGCTCTTTAAATAATACAGTCTTATTATAATCTGGTTTAATCCAATTGTTGATACTGATCAATACATGATTATGTGACGATTGCCGCCATTGATTTTCTACAATTGGCAATCATACTATAAGTTCAATATTCTTCAATTGACTTATGATCAGCATCCAATAAGGAAGGCTATTGACATCCGATTGAAAGCTGGTTTGTCAGCATTCGACCTGTGTGTCTATTAATTGGTATGACTGCCATATAAGTAGTTGGATTTCGTGTACCAACTGTAAATTTGCTAGGTAAGAATCGACTGTATATGTTATGAATCGGCATAATAGAACCCCCGAAAAATGCTTATATATGTAAGGTACTAAGGTGCTTAGCCAACATAGAAAAGTTTTATGATGTAAGAATTTTATAATGCTTAATTTTAAGAAAATTTTATACTATGTAAGATAATTAAATTGCATATTTTTGGTATTATTTTAAAATACTAAGAGTTTTTAGTTGCTTATTTTTCATATTTATATAACTTTTTAAAATATTATATATTGAATTTATAATTAATTTTTATTTTATTTTCACTAACGGTGAGTGTTAATTTTGTACTACATTTCACAATTTTATATAAATACATAAACAAAAATTTTTTTTTGATGAAATTTCATTTTTTTTTTCAATGTTTTATTAATTATCTGTCAATAGTATCTTTTTAATTTTTATTAAACTCAGTGTATTATTTTTAATATAAAATTACTATATTATACATGTTTATTTTGTTAAATAAAATTACTATAAATATGTTTTACTTTAAAATATAATTTCACTACTCACCACTTTGGTTATATCAAATTATCTTTTATGCTTAAGTAAGTTTGTTCAGCAAGTTAAATCTACTTGTATTTTAATTTTCATAAGGCTAAGTATGATATTTATATAGAAAAGCATATTTTTTTTAACGGTAATAACTTTTAAATTTTTCACTTTTTCGTTTATAACTTCAGAGCGTAATTACACCACTTCAGTCAAATGAAATCGACTTTCTAAATTAATTGAAAGTTGTTCAGCAAGGTCGAAACTACTTATATATTAATTTTCATGAGTGTGGGTATAATACTTATGGAGAAAAGTGCATTTTTCATAACGGTACTAACTTCCGAATTTTTCATTTCTCCGTTTACAACTTCAGAGCGTAATTACACCACTTTGGCCAAATGAAATCGACTTTCTAAATTAATTGAAAATTGTTCAGCAAGGTCGAAACTACCTACATATTAATTTTTATGGGTGTAGGTATAATACTTATGGAGAAATTTACATTTTTTGTAATAGTATTAATTTCGAATTTTTCTTTTACTGTTTATTAACTTTATTAATTGAATATTGTTAATCTACTTGTATATTATGTTTAGTTTAGCTTCACAACATATTTAAAATTGGATTTAATAAAATATATTAATTAATAAATATATTTTATAAATTATATGTGTTATAATAAAAATTTAATTAGGTTAGAAGATTGATTTGCTTATTTTTATATAATTTTTAAGGTTAGATATCAACAATGCTTAGCGATCATAGTAAAAACCTATGCTTAGAGCTACTAATAAAAAATATTTTTGGGATCTTACCTATATAAGTATTTTCCAGGGTCCTGGCATGATGGCATCTCTAGATAATTCATGGAAATCATATTTCCACAATTCAACGTTGCAACTTTTATCATCCTAATTGCCGATTCTGCAATGAAATCTTGTTTTCTCATTTGGTGCCCATAAATACCAGTTGACAAAAGCGAGCCAATACGTCTTAGGACTGGCAGCTGAACTGTATGCTTGAAATAATACTGAACATAACCAGGGTAAATGCTATGGACTCATTGTCCTGTATAAATTTGGCTATAATATATGAACTTCTTTGATATTAGGGTGCACTTTTTGACCCAAAAATTTTGGCAGCAATCTGAATACGACCAAATTGGGTTACAATTGGCAATACAACGATTGATTGATGTGAATCTCCTGATGATAAATCACTTGAAGCTAAATCAGCAATTGATGTAAAATTCCAATCGTATATATCATTATAATATTTCACCAATAGTTCATATGTGGCATTTGGTAACGATACTCAATTTCTTGGAGTAAGCATCTCTCCCAGAAATTCTTCGCTATTAGTAGTAATCGTGTTATCGATATTTTGATGAAAATTTTGCATAAAATGGTAAAGTTCATTAAAATCAAACCCATCATAAGCTGCCAAACTTCCAGTTATTAATCGAAATTGAATCAAAGGTAATGCATTCATCAATTTTGCATTATCTGATTGGGCGGATATTAAGCTGTTAAACCGTAAACTTTACAGAAACTTCAAGTTTTCAAGTGATATCATTTTGATATCATTTTGATATCATCAATATCGATTTAATATCGATACGATATCAAAATAAAGTATTATCACTTTGATATCATTTCAATATTAAATCGATATTAAAATGATATCAAAGTGATAATACTTTATTTCAATATCGTATCGATATTAAATTGATATCGTATCAATATTAAATCGATATTGAAATGATATCAAAATGATATCAAAATGATATCACTTGAAAACTTAACGATATCGATTCTATATTGATTAAAAATGGTAAGTTTCTGTAAAGTAATTGAAAAATTGGCATTAGAGTAGCAGGAAGGAACTCTCATTTTATGGGTTAGGGCTCGAGATGCTTCCTCCCTTTAAACTCGCTACTTCGTTCATTTTATTACATTTGTTTTTTTAGCTTATCATAAACAATGAAAAAAATTAAAGATTTTTTCAACGTGAAATAAAACTTTTATTATGTTTAGTTATTCTATTATGTATATATTATTTCCAGAATATTTAGCTATGTCTTTTTTGATTCCCTTCCCTTCGTACACATTTCATTTTACATTTACAAACTTTTTTTGGGCCTTCCCCTTCTCCTTTGAGCATTTTTTTGTTCTTTAGTCTCTTTATCAGATTCGCGGTTTGTTTTCTCAATTTTAACGATTTGATTAGGTAAATATCTATTAATATCACTGTTGACATTCCCAAATCCAATTACTACCTGAGTATAATTGGGATTAATTTCATGATTTTTATTCCGTGTTTCTTTAGTTATACATTCCACCGACTCATCTGTCTCACTACTGTGTGTAATCCATATGAACATTATTTCCAATTTATCCTCAAAACTTGATAAGTTTGGTTTTAAATTTGGCCAGATACTGGAGAAAAACTTTCTCTCAGAATCCGAATGGTTATCCTTATTAAGAGTAATCTGTACTGGGGCAACATACAATTTATCCTTTGTTTGCGAGATCAGTAATCCATTGATGGCCTCTTGGTTCCAACAGCATGGTAAGTAAAATATACATTTCTCTTTATTCGAGGAAAACTTAATTTCTTTTTCGTTATAAAAAAATTCCATACCACCAGGCTTAAAATTTACACGGTTTGCCATTAATCCATTCCTAAAAATACTAGCAATACACGCCTTTTCAACAAAAAATCTCTTAACCGATGGGTTGGTTTTGAAATCTGATATGCGACTGATCCATTTTATATTTGTAAATATTTCCATTTCTCTTTTTTCAAAGAGATATTCAGCCATGGAATCTCGTATAAGCCCACAGACATAATAACAGATATTGTCATCTTTGATGTAAAAGTAACGATGATCATAATCATCTTTTCTATAGCCCAGTTTAGGATGTGTATTTGTAATGAATGACAACATTAATCCAACATGACTATGAAAACAGAGAAAATCAGCATTGTATAGATCATATAGTTTACAAAACAAATCAAAAATATATTTACCGATCCCATGTATGTTTATTGCCTAGTAGATTTTCCGAATATTCTGTTATCGGCTTTTGTATTATTGACTTTAATTTTTGTTTTAGATATGCAAATGCATCTTCAAAATTCTTGTGACTATATTCTAGCAAAAAGTTTAAGAATAGTGGAATTTTGCCTGTGATGTCTTTGATTCGTTCCTTCTCCTGATCATTCATTGCTGGCAAACTATACTTTTTCCACCATTCTTCCATCTCTTCCTAAATAAACATTATGTTAATATACAAAAAATTCACAACATAAAGTAACTTAATCTTACCTCATTAAACCCTCCATAAAGCTTGATCTTTAATTCACCAGTTTGCTTTTGCATAAGATATAGTATTGTCTTATTGTTAGCTGAAAAACTCATTATATAATAATGGTAATTGCTCATTTTATTAATTTGTTGTTTAATTTTTAAGCTAATCCCAGTATTATCAAGTTCATCTAAAGCATTCATTTGGTCGACAATGAAATATAACTTTTCTTTGAATTGTAATTTTTTACAAAAATCTACGATATTTTCAAAATTTTCACAGGAATTAATTTCGTTTATTTTTGCATCATCATCATGATAGGCAAGAAATAAGGCAGACTTGGTATAATCTACTGGGTCCACTGCCAGTTGGCGACAATCAGGAAGAAATACAACACGTCTTCCTGTTCGAAAAAGGAAGCATGCAATTGCTGAAAGGATATGTGACTTGCCATATCCGACAGTACCATAAACAAATAATTTCATGTATCCAGTACCAGATCGAAGTTTGTTTATGGTTTCTAAAATGTTCCTGAATTCCTTTCGTCCCATAAAGTTAAAATAACGATTATTGTCAATGGCGAATCTATCTATTGGTAATTTTTCACCAAGGTATGGATATGGTAACGAAAGGAAATTTTTAGGATTTGAGTAAGTAGATTCATTCTCGTCAAGTTTCATTATACCTTCCATGATTTTATGGGCAGTAGAAATTATATTTAAATCTATAAAATAATCTTACATATTAAAATGATGATATTTAGTCTTAGTTGAATCCAAAAAATTACACACCTGCAAATTTCGCTCTTTTACTATTTTGACCTTTGTCTGAATCTACTAGCGATCGCTTTCCTTTTTCTGATTGAATAAAAAATATAAGATGTGAAATAACGCGAATTTCTTGTTCGAGAGGTAAACCATTGGGAGACACTTACCAGTAGTGACAGATGGAAGCGGTTCCACGATGATGCGGATGTTAGTACTAGTGGGTGTTTCTTGAAAATAACTTCCAACAGATTCGAATGAATGCAACTCTACACCTTTGTACTCTTTTACGATCACTTCTTGATTTTCCTTGGTTTGAATAATATCGACCCTCCATAATGTCAGTCTGTCTGCGTCAATACCAATGAAGGCATTTTGTTTCGCGTCCTTTATGGCTATTCTGAGGTGCCCAAAAGTCGCGTAATTTCTAGTATCAATTGGGAAAGAGTTTTTAATAGCGTCACCTTGAACGAGGCAAAATATCATAATATTGGTATATCTGCAAATGCGGAAATCGAGTGTTAAAAACAATGATCAAAAAGTAATTTTCCAGTATAATACAAATAAAAGACTTTTTGGATACAATTTTAGACCTACCAGAAAGTGATTTTTCCTCGATTTTAGTTTGTACCCGGGATGGCGAAAGTACTCAAAATAGCGAAGAATAGTTCGACATTTTGATTATATATCATATATTTATGTATTTCCATAAACGGTTGTTGACTAATTACTATAAACTGTGAGTCAGTAATACTACGAACAGAGTCAGCAATGTGTCAAGGATCATTACGAAAAAAAATTTTATCAAAATACGTCACAATGTTACATGAGAGTGCCAATCAAAATAATTCCTGGTCAGCGAAACTAATGTTCTGGACAAGACTACGCAATATATATTTCGGTTATGACTGTGCATTTATAAGGAAGCGACTCCACAGGTCAAAAAGTGAAAAATCAGGCATCAATCAGGCACCAATCGGTCACCAATCAGCTACCTGATTGGTGACCGATTGGTGCCTGATTTTTCACTTTTCGACCTGTGCTCAGAACTTGCAAAGCCAATATCTATTTTTTTGTTCAGAACTTTCAAGGACCTTATTAGGCAGAGAACATAAACTTTTAGTGAGTTTTACTAAAGTCAGTATTGTTAATTTATTTCTGACTCAGCATGTCACTGGTAAAAAAATGATTTATCCTACACATATCTTACACATATTGGGTACTTAAAATGTAGAAAATCATACACAAATAATACACATATCATACACATATCGGGTACTAATATATATATCATACATATATCAGGTACCTGATAGGTATACTATATATATAAGTACCCGATATGTGTATGATATGTGTATTATTTGTGTATGATTTTCTACATTTTAAGTACCCGATATGTGTAAGATATGTGTAGGATATGTGTAGGATAGACCATTTTTTTACCAGTGTGTTCTATGCATAATAACTGACGACCATTTATTCTATCCAGAATATTGATGTTGACAAATGAAATTAGAGTTAATGTTGGGATATTGTATTAGTATGTAGATAGTGTATGTAGATAGCCGAACAAAATACTGGCAGGCATTAGTATAGAGTAGGAAATTTAATTATATTGATTATGATCGATGATTGATTAATTTGATCAATCATCGATCATATGATTTTAAATCCAATTACAATCAATCAAGCTAACCAATCATCGATTATCAAACTAATCGATTAAAATATATAATCATATATTGGTCGATCAAACAAAAATTAAAAATATATTTGCAATTTATGGAAATTAAGCGAATTTCTACTTTCTTTAATTGTCAACTAGTATGTGCAAGTAATTTTATATTACAATATTATTGGTATTAAAATTTCCTTATTCATATTGTTTCTTTTGAAACACGCGAAAATATCACGAAAAATATATTATATACTTTTAAATGGCAAATTTTCCAGGTTCAAAAAAGCGTGTTAAAAGAAAAGAAATTTCACATTTATCTAAAAACAATGCAATATTACGTAAATAGAAGAACAAAAAGAACAAGAACCACAATGGATTTCTAATACTAGAAAAACAAGTTTTGTATAGAAGTTTTTTCAGGCTAAAACAAATGGTCGTGCATATTGCAGGTACAATGATAATGACAATGGTAATGAGTGCGGATATAGTTGTATCTATAAAATGCAAACAAGTACTATTATATATCATATTAATAATGTTCATAATGAATATAAAAAAAAATCCGAAGTACGTATTGATTTGCATAATTAAAACAGATCTGCAAATATATTAATTTTAATTTTACATTACTAGCAATTAAAAGTTGATGAACAATTTAAAAAAGTTACACCATATAAGGAACTATTACAACAAAAATTGCATAATGGAGTAGCAGATTGTATCGTTACAGATGGATTACCTTTTAATAATACAGTGCGAGGAAAAGGTTTTAAGCGAATGATAAATAATATAAATCCACCACCATGTTATGCGACTCTAAAACGGGATATAGGATGTGGATATAAAACAGCAGTTGAATTAATGAAGAGTTACGTTGAAGAAACTTGCATTTATGCTTCTATTACCACTGATCTTTAGACCTCAAGAGCTAAAACTGGATATATTGGTATAACGTGTCATTGGTTAACTCAGGAAATGAAATTATGTGATATATTGGTATGCATAGAAAAAATTTCATATCCACATACCGGAACTCATATTCGCAAAACTATTCAAGAAAAGTTAAAGGTTTTGGGATTAGAAAAGAAGGTAAATGTAGCAGTAACAGATAATGGGAGTAATATGGTTAAGGCAATTAATGAATGGGATGGTGTGAGTAGAGTAGCATGCTCAGCACATACTCTTCAGCTTTGCGTGCTTAAAGGATTAAAACAAATAAAACCATATCTTCAAAGATATGCAAAATTAAACCAGTTTTTTGAATTACCTAAGCAAATAGAAAGGTTAGAAGATGTTCAAAGAGAAATAATTAGACAAGAAGAACGAATAACTAATGAAACTGAATTATCACCTTCTGTGGAAAATAATGAAAATGTTGATGAAAACAATCAATATGAAAAAAACAAACCATTAAAGATTCTTAGAACAATTACAGAGGTACCAACACATTGGGAATCAAAATTAGCTTCCTGTAAATGGTTAAAAGAATTAAAAAAAACCAATAAACCGTTTATGTGTTACACTTAGCTTGGAAACAGATTATGAAGCAAGAAAAGATTATTAACGATTAACAGCATTAATGTTAAGTGATATTGAATGGAAATTACTTGATAAGTTGATTGAAACATTAACTCCAATTGAAAGTGCTACCCAGTTTCTTGGAGGTCAAAAATATTGCACACTTTCTTTAATTTTTTCTTCAATCCAAATACTTAAATATGATTATACACCAGATCCAAACATTTCGGTAAATAGTGATGGTAAACAATTATTATATTAAATTATTTTCTAATAAATATCATGTTATATTATGTTAATAATAATTACTAATTTAACCATTAATTAAAATAGAAAATAACGAGGAAAATAATGAAGAAAATTTACACTTGGAGATTGAGGATGAATTTGCGGAATATTCACCATTATCATCTGATGATGATATTAATTCTATAATTAATTCAATCAAAAAAGGAATTTATGATGCTCTTTTTGAATATTGGAATATTCCACCAAATTCTACTTTATCAGCCAATTTATTAGATCCTAGATCTAAAACAATGTACGGTTAGTCTAATGAATTACAGGAACTAGCAAAACTTTTATTGAATACAGAATATGAAGAATATAAAGATAATGATATATTTATACAAATTTATCCATTATCTCAATCCCGATCTCAATTTTTTTTAAGTAGGATATTTGGTCTTCAAATACATTCATCAACCGATAATGAATTAACTCAATATTTAGATAATTTTCGCACACCCCAAGCTTCTCTTGATACTGATATTTTCAAATGGTGAATTAATAATAGGGAAAAGTTTCCAACATTGTTTAAAGTTGCACATAAATATTTGGGAATTCCAGCTACCTCTGTTCCTAGTGAACGACTTTTTAGTGACGCCGGTAACTAAATAACTTCTGAAAGGAATAGATTAAAAGCAGAAACAGTTAATAAAATACTTTTTTTAAAGAAAAATATGGAATACATCAATCCATTTAAATAATATACGTCTTAATAATAAAATAATTACTATTTACCAGTTAATATTAAAATTTGATTGTTTTTAATAAATTTAATATGTTAATAGGATATAAATATCAAATATTTTTTGCGAAAAAATGATTATTAAATTGATTGATCGATCAAATTGATCAAATAACATCTGATTATTAGTTTTAGTTGATTAATTGGTTGATGAAACGTGACTAATCAATTTTTGATCGATTAATTTCTCCTGAAATAATCAATTAATCGATTAAGAGATTTATGAGCAATTAAATTTCCTAGTATAGAGACTTTGTAAAACAAGTTTATGTATTACCAAATCTTGTAATTTATTTTTTTACATCAATAAATCAGAAATTCCTAATGAAGATATATATTACCTTGTTTTTTTTTATATATGCTAACGAACTTTTGAATTCTTCCCATCCTATATAAAACAATGTCAAACACTCAATCTATTGATTCATTAAGAGAATTAAATGTCAAGCTCTTAGCTGAGATTACTAAACTTAGGAAGTAGTTTGCTGAAATCGAGAGCAAGAATGCTGAGATTCCTGAACTTAGAAGGAAAGTTGCAGACGTTGAGGCTGAGAATGCAAAACTGAGGCAGTTTATTGAAGAGAATGCTAAGCGTGATGTTAGAGTCAAGGAACTAGAGCAAAAAAATACAAAGCTTGAGGCCAGACTCGCAATAGTGGAACAGAGTTCTGTAGCAGTGAATGAATAATCAAAGAATGACAAGGAAGCAATTGCAAAGCAATCAGCTCCATCTTCTTGCATATACTCGAATGTAAGAGATAAAAGTAGAGGTGAAAAGTACTGAAAAGTGTTTTGCTGAAGATTCTTCATCTGATGATAATTTACTATCAATTCCCAATTATAGTCAAGAAAAGCAGGACTAATCTCTGCCATCTTGTATGAATGATCAGAAATCATTGGTAGACAGGAAAATAGATACTTTCTTGAATGATGCATATAAGAAAAGTGTTAGTGATGGGATAAGACGACGCAATAAGGAGAAACTTCTGCGTGAGACAGCCTTCCTTAAAGTATTATTTTCTGCAGAAAATAATCTGACTGTTTTCTCAGGAAATGATCAGATGGTTTCAAAGAAGTCAGAAAAAATCAAGAAAACTTCAAGAAATCAGCAAAAGGTTATTCAAGATCACAAGTCGAAAAGTGAAAAATCAGGCATCAATCAGTCACCAATCAGTCACCAATCAGGTAGCTGATTGGTGACCGATTGGTGACTAATTGGCATTTTTGCCAAATACTGTTACCAATCAGGCAGTTTGCTAACTTTTGATCCAGTGATCAGAAAAAAATGAAATATAGCTCATTGGAATCGTCTCAACAAGACGAATCTAATGGTAGTAAAATCACATTTTTAGGATTAATAGTTAATAAAATATTAAATAAAATATAAATAATACATTTTTATTTTTATATTTTACTTAATTTCTCATCAAGTATTAATCCTAGAAATGCGATTTTACTACCATTAGATTTGTCTTGTTGAGACGATTCCAATGAGCTATATTTCATTTTTTTCTGATCACTGGATCAAAAGTTAGCAAACTGCCTGATTGGTGACAGTATTTGGCGAATATGCCAATCAGTCACCAATCGGTCACCAATTAGCTACCTGATTGGTGGCCGATTGGTGACTGATTGATGCCTGATTTTTCACTTTTCGACCTGTGGATTTTGATGACTCTGATGAGATCAAGCTCACTAAAAATCAGAATATAGAACTTGATTTAATATGAGATTTACAGAGTGGTAGTATTATTGCTTCAACTTCCAAAATTAGTGAGCAGTATTCATCCTCTTGCGAAGCATCTTACGGCCAAATTACAACACAAAGCCTAATCCATTTATTTTGAAATGCAACATAAACTGGACATGAAGAGATTGTCCTGAGTTCATTATTCAGATAATTTTGAAAATAAGGTTGTTGAAATTCGTCATGAGACAGAAGTTACTGATAAAACTGCAAGAACTCAAATATACAAGGAAATGTTAGAACATCTGGCTGGTGTTACGCCTGTTGCCTTGCGAATTAAAACTCTTAGAGCCAAAAAAATTCACAAATTGTTTGGAGAGAATGGTGTAGGGATTGATAAGATTAAGTGTGTCAATTGCAATGCAAATGAGATTTCAAAATTAACTAACGAACAAATTCAAAATATTATAGATCAAGTAACTTTAAAAACTATTTTCTCGGGAAATGATCAGAGTCACGTGCCTTTGAAAATCACCAATGGTAATGCATTTTCAAAACTTAAGGTAAACGTTTCTACCACATCTCGTTCACCAATTCCTAGGACTACTTATGACCAATCCTATTTTCGCAACAAGACATTGGGCCAATATTCTAATTTATATAAAGAATTTAGTAGTGAAAATTTTGACTATTATGGTATTACTGACAAGACATCTTGTGATCCCAAAAGGACTTGCCCATTATGCAGTTTAGATCATGATGATGAGGAAAGTATAGAAGGTAGATATAAGGCTGGATCCTATTTTATTAAGTGTGAACAGCACGAAATTGAGATAATTGCATAGTCTCATTATTTTTTACACATGTCAACTATTACCTAATTAGATTGATTTGCAATTATAGAAAAAAAGGAAATATGAGCAAATTCGATAAAGTATTAACCCCCAAATATTTGGATTGGCATGCCAAATTAAGTGGGTTACCAAGCATTTTGATAGATAAGATTCATACCAAATTTTACAAAAGATATAAAAAAGAAACTGGATGTGAGCCATGGCAATTAATTATCAGAAGCTGTGAAAAATACGCCAGCAAAACCTTGCTTTGGCACCTCCGGCTAAGCCTCTGGTTTCAAGCCTATTACCTTCAAAGCCAGACCTGATCCAGAATTAATTATCAAATCCAAGGATGAAGAACAAGATTACGAGGTCCTAGAAGGATCTGATCAGAATAATGTATTGGAGGTAGTCTTGCCTGAAGATCCCGAAGAGAAGCGAAAACATATCATTGGGTTGGTGCTAAAGAAGTTTCCTTATCTATCTTTAGACGATAGTGATGAACACTATGACACATTTAATCTTGATAGTTCAGCACTCTGTCCTTTATGTAATGGAGACCATAAAGTAAACAGAAGTATATTTGATGAAATAAAAGGTGAATGGGGTGCTGGTGAATATTACAGAGAACGAATTTATCATCTCAACTGCAGGGAGTCTCTTAAACATGGAATCCCAATAGTATCAGTAAAAGCATAGACTGAATTATATTTCTTTTTTCGAATCACATGGGTAGCTTAGATATTATACTTCTCCACAGTAATTATGACACATATTCTATAATATTTTTTTCTTTGAGGTTTTGAATTCACTCTTTTAAAGTCAAGAATATGGTTCGTAAAAGGAATAAGAGGCATAATCAATCCATACTATCAGCTAGTGAGAACCAGTCCAATGATATGATAGTATCGGATACAGAATTATGAGAACTTGTACGTCAAGGTCTCATAGTCGATGAAGTTCACAAAGTATTATCATACAATCGAAAAAACATGCATTGGATTGATAACTTTATTAATCTTTTGATTAAGCTTGAAAACCAATGCGATGATCTAAAAGAAAAAGTATATCACTGCTTAATGAAAGAGGTTTTTAATGCGAAGGTCTTTCATGAAGCATCCATTTAAGCTAGTCACATTTTTAAGGCAGAATATCTTAGAAATAAAATAGATGATCACATAGGATTTCATTATTCAAATAGAGGAGGGTAAAAAAGGATGGTTAAGTCGTGGGTCAGTTGCGACACTACACAAAGTGACATCTACGGAAAAAGTGGTAGATTTGCTTAATAAAGCTGAAAATAAAGGTCCTGAAACTCGAAGGCAAATAATCATTTTCTAAAGATATATGTTCTTTCAAAATCATGTGAGTGGCTTAGACGATCATATGGAGCGATCACCGTTAAGGCAAATGCGCAGTATAATATCAGGAAAATTCTTGCCAGAAAATAGGGACTGTGTTACGTAAAATTTGCATATATATATACATTTTTTCGACTTTATTTTTTGAGTCATGTCTCCGGCCACACTAGTATTATACTAACAAAACAATATTTGAATATAATTAGTTCTCTTATTTGGCATATGAGATCGCTAAGAGATGATTGGCTGGAGGTACTAATCATGAAGTCATTTTTATAGATTTGCACACTAGTCGAAATCAAAACTTTCGACTATTAAAAGCTTTTGGCATAATTTTTGCTGATTGGTTATGTGATTCATCACATTTTTTGACCAATGGCAAAAATCGGTAAAATCAATCACAAATCGACTGATACTGATTGTTAAATGAATACTTGTTTGGTCTTTTAGTAAAAAATTAACTTATACCGATTATTATACGAAAAATTGTTCCTTTAAGATCATTCAGTAAAATTATACCGATTGGTCATATAAATCGACACAATTTTGACAAATTTGCCAAATGGTAAAAATTAATAACTAATTGGCAATAATTCGGCAAATCAGTTGGTAAATGACTAAAATCATCAGATGATCCAGATTGACATTTTACAGGTCTTTTTAAACAAACTTTTTTAAACTTTTTAAACTTTTTGCTTTTTTTCTTGCTTCTCTTTGTCCTTTTCCCTTCCCTTTCTTACACCTTAATTTTTCACATTGAATTTGGTAACTTTTATTAAATCAAAAAAGTTTTAAAATTTTCTTTAAAAAAAATGTTTTTTAACGTTAAAAAACATTTCTTTTTTATACTTTGTAAAGAAAATCAGTTCCAGCATAGATACCGTTTCTCTAAGTGAAGTTTCGAAAGATTTTTAAAACTTTCTTATAAAAAAACATTTTTTAACAATAAAAAACGTTTTTTTTTAATATTTTTTTTGCAGGAAATCAGTTCTGGTGTGGATACCATTTTTCAGGTAAACTTTCTTCAAAAAATACGTTTTTATACTAAAAAAAGGACCCTGGACATTTCTAAAATAAGTCATAAGTCACACTTTTAACAAATTGACCCATTTTTTGAGTGCTCAAAAATCATTTTTTGTAAATATCTCGGCATTCAGTAGTCCAATTTCAATAAACATTTTTTTAAATTGTAGAGCTATATGAGGGCTACAAAATAAAAAAAAGTTCTTCAAAATTGAATCACTAGATGCTGAAATATTTACAAAATACGATTTTTTGAATTTTAGCGAAAAGTGGTATTTTTGGGCAAAAGTCAGTTATGACTTGTTTTAGAGATGTCCGGGGTCCTCTAAAAAATGTTTTTTTTTATTGTATTTTTTGTTTAGGGAATTGGTTCTGGCGTGAATATTATTTCCCAGGTAAAGTTTCAGAAGATTTTTGAAACTTTCTTATAAAAAAAACGTTTTTTAACAGTAAAAAACGTTTTTTTTATTTATTTTTGTAGGAAATCAGTTCCAGTGTGAATACCGGTTCCTTAGGTGAAGTTTTGAAGGATTTTCAAAACTTTCTTAAAAAAAACGTTTTATAACTAAAAAACGTTTTTTTAAATATTTTTCTGTTTAGGGAATTAGTTCCAACATGAATACCGTTTCCCTAGGTAAAGTTTTGAAAAATTTCAAAACTTTCTTAAAAAAAAACGTTTTTTTACTAAAAAATGTTTTTTTTTTATTTTTTTTGCAAAGAAAATCAGTTCCAGCGTGAATACCGATATTCTAGGTAGGTTTTGAAACTCTTTCAAAATTTTTTTTTAAAAAAAATGTTTTTAACGTAAAAAATGTTTTTTTTTTGTTTTTTTTTGCAGAAAATCAGTTCCGGCATGGATACCAATATTCCAAATAAGTTTTGAAATAAAAATTTGAAACTTTATAAAAAAAAACGTTTTTTAATATTAAAAACGTTTTTTTTTCATTTTTGTATAGGAAATCGACTCCAACGTAGACGCCGATATTCTAGGTAAGTTTCAAAACTAAAGTTTTGAAACTTTTTTAATAAAATGTTTTTAATAAAACATTTTTTTTATATTTAATTATGGGGATATCGGTTCCAGTGTGGATACCGAATCCTAAAGATAAGTTTCAAAAAAAAATTTTGAAACTTTTTTTAATAAAAACGTTTTTATACTAAAAATGTTTTTTTTTTATTATTTTTTATATAGGGATATCCAAAGTTAAGTTTCAAAAATTTTCAAAACTTTAATATAAAAACGTTAATTTTTAAAATTTTTTTTTTATTTTTTTGTAGGAATATCAGTTTCAGCATGAATACCGAATCCCAAAGTTAAGTTTCAAAAATTTTTGAAACTTTTTTTTATTATTTTTTATATAGAGATATCAGTTCCAGCGTGGATATCGAATCTCAAAGTTAAAAAAATTCAAAACTTTATAAATAAATGTTATAAACATTTTTTTTGTTTTTTTATATAAGAATTCAGCTCCAACGTGGACGCCGATATTCTAGGTAAGTTTTAAAACAAATGTTTCGAAACTTTTTTAAAAACGTTTTTTTTTTATTTTTTATAATAGGAAATCAGTTCCAGCGTGGATACCAATATTTCAGGTAAGTTTCAAAACAAATATTTTGAAACTTTTTAAAAACATTTTTTAATAAAAAAAACGTTTTTTTATACTTTAATATAGGAAATCGGCTTTAACGTGGACGCCGATATTCCAGGTAAGTTTTAAAATAAATGTTTAAAAATTTCTTTAAAAAAAACGTTTCTAATGTTTTTTTATATTTTAATATAGAAAATCAGCTCCAATATGGTTATATGGATGCTGATATTCCAGATAAGTTTTGAAACTAAAGTTTTAAAACTTTTTTAAAAAAAACGTTTCTAACATTTTTTTTTTATACTTTAATATAGGAAATTGGCTTCAACGTAAACGCTGATATTCCAGGTAAATTTTGAAACTAAAGTTTCAAAACTTCTTTAAAAAAACATTTCTAACGTTGTGACACGCCACCTATAGGATATTAAGTAAAATATCGTATGTTGTTACCAACGTGTTGAGTTCAAATAATATCTCTGCTTGGTTCAAAATAAAAATTATAAAAGTTAGTTACAAAACATGATTTCTTATCCCAAAAATTAATTTTTGCGATAGTTTCCCCAAATTTAATATTAATAATATACATTAAATTAATAATGTCTTCTTTTCTCATAAGAAAAGGTTAAACAGTGTGTTAGTTTCTATTAAGGGCGAACTAAAATTTTTATTTTTATTTTTATTTTTTTTTTTTAAAATCAAATTGCGAACTTGAACTGTGGAATTTCTAACGAAATCTGCAGATATTTATACATTTTAAGAAAATTATTTCTAATATCTACTTATCTTTTTCTAATAAGAATTTAAGAAAATTTAAGAAAATAAAAAATCTATTATCATATGACTATTTTGTTACACTAAACTAAATTATAAATATAATTTTATCGGCTGATTATTTACCCATCGATTAATTATTTATCCATCGGCTAATTATTTATCCTTATTCTACTTTATTGTATTTTCAGTTATTATAACGTTTTTTTTTATACTTTAATATAGAAAATTGGCTCCAACATGAACGCTGATATTCCAGGTAAGTTTCAAAACTAAAGTTTCAAAACTTCTTAAAAAAAAACGTTTATTTTAACATTTTTTTTATATTTAATTATAGGGATATCAGTTCTGGCGTGAATACTGAATCCTAAAGATAAGTTTTGAAAAAAAATTTCAAAAATTTTTTTAATAAAACGTTTTTATATTAAAAATATTTTTTTTATTATTTTTATATAGGAATTCAGTTCCAGCATGGATACCGAATCTCAAAGGCAAGTTTCGAACAATTTTGAAACTTTAATAAAAAAACGTTAATTTTAACGTTTTTTTTATTTTTTTTGTAGGGATATCAGTTCTGACGTGAATACTGAATCCCATTGGTTAGTTTTGAAAAAGAATTTGAAACTATTTAAAAAAAAATGTTTATTAACATTTTTTATTATTATTTTATTGTAGTAAAATGGTTCTGACTTGAATACCGAATTCCATTGGTTAGTTTTGAAAAAAAATTTGAAACTATTAAAAAAACATTATATTAATGTTTTTTTTATTTTCTTTTGTAGGGAATCTGATTCAGTTCTACCATTTTCCCAGGTAATGTTTTGATAGATTTTCGAAACTTACTTAAAAAAAAATGTTTTTAGCTAAAAAACGATTTTTTTATATTTTTTTTATAGAAAATTAGTTCCAGTGTGGATACTGATATTCCAGGTAAAGTTTCAAAAAAATTTCGAAACTT